ACGAAATTAGTTATGGACAATTATTTGATGCATTGTAAAAGACGTCTGTGGTAACTATGATAGAGGAAAAATATGGATCTTTATGCTTTTGGAAATAGAATGAAAGAGAATATTGAGAGTAACTAGCCTTAGAAAAGAGGAAATAGTATAAATCTTGAATTTTTTTATTTTATTTTATTATTATTATTTTTTTGTGAAGTCTAGCATTGCTCTCTTTAATTTACATGGAACGAAGTAATTAAAAAAAAAAAATCAAGTCTAACTGTTTAAGAGCAAATAATACAGTAATGAATATATATATATATATATATATATATATATATATATATATATATATAAAATTAGGGAATTGATTACATAGGCTACATATATGACGGTCTCACAACTTCACGTGCATGCGTCAAAGAAAGCTAGCGCGATACAAAAATTCCAAGTATGTGTGAATAGAATGTGAGCTGGGGCATGGAAAAGTAAATTGGATTGGACGGAGAAAAGGAATTGAATGGCCAAATAATTACTTTTACACTTTTGGGCCATTCAAGAGTAAAAGAGAAGGGAAGAGAAGAGAAGCGACAATCACTCCCCTTATTGGAAAAAAAACAAAAGGGTAAATGGATTATTTGACAACGATAAAATCATGCTCCCACGGTGCTAAAAAGTGGAATTATTACATATAAATAACACTAATGATTCATATTTATTATTTAATAGAGTTAAAGTTTCGTAATTTTGAAAAAATAAATTTAATCAAAATACTGACGTGGACATATGAAATATCACTTTTAAGTATATAGGTACCACTTTTTGTACATCAGGTACAACTTTTAATTTTGGATAAAGGTACCACTTTTTGTATATTAGGTACCACTTTTTGTAAATCGGAATTGGATATCACTGTTTTGTGCAAAATAAAAAGTGGTACCTAATGAAATTTTGTAAATAATTACACTTACTTTTCTTGTAAATTGTCTAAATAATATAGACCTCACTTCTAATTTAAAAATGCTATTTTGTTCATAAAAGAACATATATTTTACACTAAAATATATTTAATCTACCACCAAAGCAAGTTGTGTTTTATTTTATTATTTACCTTGATAAGGAAAACATACTTACACACCCGTGTTGAATTTCGACCCACAACCTTTTTCTTTGAAAATAAAAAAAAAGTCTCGTGAGAGTTTTCAGAGATGATATCCAAAAACATACAACACAATTCAATCATTTGGCAATCAATTTATTCTCATATTATCATCCGACTATACTCCTTAGTCCCTATTTTCATACTTCACCCCAATGTTTCCCACACACTTGTGTAACAAGAATAATAGCAAAATCAATCCCCAATGTTATGAAATTTGTGAACTAGCAAGTTACCTATGTAGTAATGTCTTTTCAATTGAACCCAACTTTTATAACTTCAATTCCTCAAATCCATTCTCAAGTTATTTTTTTTATGGCAAAATATTATTTATTTCCTTTCTTTCGTTTTTTTTTCTTATCCTTACCCCCACTTCTTCATGCGAACACTCTATGCATATGAGACATGAGCCCCGATTACTCCATGAAAGGGTTACGAATTTTTTTTTTTTAATATCTATGCCATAGTAATAACCTTTAAAATTCACCAATTCATATCCATCCATAATTATAAGAGTTCAACTAAAAATACAAATACCTATAGATAAAATTCTAGTGTGCATGTGAAATCCATCAGGGACCGACAATTACTAAAATTCCTATCATACTAGATAATGGAACTCACATAATATAAAGCACGAAAATTAGGGATTCAAGACGATTTCAGAAAAGAATTTTAAAAAGTACTTAAGTGTCTTAATCCCACTAAGAATTCTCAAATACTTGAATTAAAGTCAATTAAAAATATTTTAACAATTAGAGTAGACTCTATGCCTCCAAACTTAAATTGGACAATGTTCTCACTGGGCAAAAATCAAAAACAAGAAAAATAATAATAAAAAAATAAAAATAAAAACAAAGAACGAAATCACCTGGCAGGATATCTGAAATTGAAGCGGTGGGGCATTAGGATCATCGTAGCCATCATCGTCCTTTGATCTTGACAAATTTCTTGAAATTTAGCGCGGAGTCGAGTCAGCTCACCAACCAAGTAATCGTGCTCATTAATGTCATCAGCGGCAGCCTCATGGGTAGAAATTATTCTAATGGAGTAGGAAATGTGGTGATTTTGTTAACTTTGATTTCTACGAATGGAATGTGAGGAGTGTGGGTGGGAGTATAGTAATGGCTGATGGAATTTAAGTAATGGATTGATAGGATTTAATAATGGGTTAATGTAATGATTGAATGGGTTTAGGGAATTTGGATGAGGCAGTGGGAAGGAAGAATGAAAGGGTGTAAAAAGCCAAAAGTGTAAACTGCCCATGCCCTTGAATTACTGCGTTCTTTTATTTCTTTTTCTTTTTCCTATTTCTTTTATTATTTTCATAATACCTGTGCAGATGTGAATGAGAGCTGCTATTTCCCCCCGACTACTAAACACCCGACAAAAACCGATTCCTACGTGTGTCTATGGCCCACTAAAATCACTGTACGGGGTTGATTTTTTTTTTTTTTTTTGGCTCTTGTTAGTATAGTACAGCAACCATGTCTCTCTCTGCACAAAATTGCATTGTGCTAGGACCAATGCCACCGCCGAAAACTACAGCACAAAACTTGTCGTCTGCCGATCATCTCTCTCAACACAAAAACCGATTATCTCTCTCAACACAAAAATTACAGAGTGCTACGACAAATGCCACCGCTGAAAACTATATCATCGCCGTCCAACACAACTCTAATTGCTGCCGATCATTACCGTTGCTGCAGATTGATTCGCCCATGAAGACGATCTGAAATTGTTTCCAAACCCAATCCTCCTACTGCATTGCCGCAAACACATGGTATATCGCCACGGGAATCAACGGACGCCATGGTCGTGGCGAAGAAGAAGGATGATCGGAGATTGAAAGGAATGAAAGAGGTACTATGGATTTGAGCATTAATTTAAGAGGTATAACATGTATGTATATGATGATGTAAAATTAATGTGAGAGATTTGAAACAATTTATTTGGTTTGTGCATCCTCTAAGAAGAATTTCGTGCTCTGCTTTACATTTGATTTTGTTTGCAAACTTATATTTTTGCTTCAGGAGAAAAAGTAGGACTAGAATGGAATTTTTTTTTTTTTTTTTTTTTTTTTTTTCTCTCTCCACCAGTTTATATTATTTTCCACCGAAGCAATTAGTGATTGCCGGAAACAGAAGAGATTGACGAAATCACTACGTCGCAGGTGTAATTCCTCCTTGCCGCTGCTGGACTCCTTGCTCTAAGTTCAGTCCGTCATCGGCCTCGTTATAGTTCATTAGCACCGTTTCGGTACACTACCAGAGTTTACTTTGTTGTAGAACGGCTGTTCGCCTATCGTCCAAAAACACGTGAAAAAAGAGGGGAGGGTTTTGCAGAGGAGTGAGAGGGAAGGGCTGAGCAGAGGAAGAGAGAGAATGTTGTATACAAATAGTCTGTTGCCAAATGGAAGTTGGTTTTTTATCGGTATATATTTGTCATCAAAAATAACATTTTCCGATTTGAATACATGAACGAATGAGTAGCGCTTCATAAGAAGCCATTCTCTACCAATGCATGCTTTGAATACTTCCCATTTTCCAAGAGAGTAAATGTTAAATGACAGTCCTTTTTAGAAACTACTTCTTGGAGGAACTCCGCGATGCCTTTCCTTGGTGGGCACCTGAAACCACAATGCTCAAAGAATTCCAGAACATTATTCCGAGGCCCATGGTATACAATCTTTCCTTCACCCATCAAGATGATGTCATCAAAGAGATCAAATGTCTCAGGAGCTGGCTGAAGAAGTGATACCAAAATGGTGGTTCTTTTTTCCTTCTTTTTTTTCTCTGGCCGTACCTGTTCGTCGTCGTCGGGTAGCTATGGGGATCGCCGGAAAGTCCCCCCTCCGGGCGATGGTTGCCCGGGTCTGTGAGTGCACTAGAAAAGAGGATTGGCCGGCTGACGTTGCTCCATCTCCACCACGCTGCTACTGCGTCGGAATTGGCTTGGCTCGCCGAAAAAATTTTGGCTGGGCGATGGTCGCCGCCTTTCTGGGTGAATCAGCGATGCTTTTACTTCTGTCTCGGAATGCAAATCACCGGAGAAATTACCGGGCAATAGTCGCCCCAAGGCCGGGCGAACGATCGCCCGGCGCTGCTACTGTTCGTTGGAAAATAAACATCGGGCGACGGTTACCGTCCAGGGCGATGGTCGCCAAACAGCTATTGTCTGTCGGAAAATAGTCCTCACCCGGGTGATGGTCACCCATGGGTCGGGCGATGATTCACCTGTTGCTTAACCGGATCTTTTTTCCCTTTTTTTTTCTTCAAGAATGCAAACTTCAAACGGCCATAACTTTGTCATCGATTTTGGACGAATCCGTTTTTAAAAAATCCGTTTTGAACGATTTTTTTTTTATTTTGGGTATTTTTTCGAGATTTACGCGTTGCAAACTGCTGTAGGCCAATTTTTTTTATTTTTTATTTTCCTCTAAACAAGCATGACGCAGTCATCATTGCACAACTTGTATCCTGCATAAGTAACTAAAAATCCTACAGAACAAATTAAACAACCCTAATCTACTAAAGCAGAAGATAAAATTAAAGAGCGAAAGAGAAAACAAATAAAAAAAAAAAAACATAAATGAAAAATCTTATCTAACGTTGGTAGGCGACGTGATACCTGAATGATTAGGTGGAGTAAATGGGATCCGTCAAAGTGACAAATTCAACTCTTTCTGTAGGCACAGAATCTTCAATGCACCCCTCCTTTCGATCCGGCCAAACGGTCTTATTTCTTGACGCCTTCCAATTCATAATATCAACATACCATGGTGGAGTCCCTTCTGAAGTTGAAATAGCTGCTTATCTGGGAATGAATTATGCAATGAAAGAGTGTTTTATAGCCCAAGCTATGCATACTTCAAATGAAAGGGTAACGACTTCAACTCTAGCTCTGGTAGAGACTTCAAAGATGGCGTAGGTGGTTCACTTGACAATTGTAGAAGTGGCTCAATAAGAATTTTCCAGGGTGGAATGTTATGCATATTAGCCCCATCAAGAATGACATTAATCTCTTCAGTGCTTTTTTCGACATCAAAGGACTCGGTATCAAAATAAGATAGGGATACTTCCAGTGGATCTTTTGTCAAGGCAAATGGGGCTATCTCTTCAACATATTCATCGATTGTATCGACAAGAGAATAATCCTTATCATCTGAAGGGCATTGACTAGCATTGAAAATATTTAAGCACACCTTCATATTACCAAAAGATAAGTCCATGTCGTCATTCCTATAATTTATGCTTGCATTTGCTGTCGTAAGGAAAGGACGACCAAGGATCACTGGAATGTGCCTCCTTAACTCTGGAACTGGCTCAGTATCTAGCACAATAAAGTCCACTGGGAAGTAGAATTTATCTACTTTGATGATCACATTTTCGATAACACCACGAGGCTGTTTGGTTGACCTATCTGCTAATTGGAGAATAATAAAGGTAGGCTTCAATTCTCCTAATCTGAGTTGCAAGTAAACCGAATAAGGAAAAAGGTTTACATTTGCACCCAAATCTAGGAGAGCTCGCTCTACTTGATGATTCCCTATTGTGCATGAAATTGTTGGAGCACCTGGATCTTTAAATTTTGGAGCAGTGCAGTTGTAATACCCCTAATTTTGAAAGGGATATAATCGAAATTTTATTATTTATTTTATTGTTTTCAGTATTTAATTTATTATTTTTAGGTGCTTATGTGGCTATGTGTGACATTTGAATTACGTAATGTGTTTATTTAAATTAATTAATTATTGATTTGCATTTATTAATTGATCTTTGAATGTAACTAATGTATGTGTTTTGTATGACTTATTTGTCTTATTGTGTGCTATTTAAATTGTTAATTGTAGTATTTTATTTAATTTTCACTGTTGTAAGATTAGGTTAGGGTTTAGCTATTTAATACATCTCACTTATGTAGCCAACATGTTTATATCATAGGTTGGTTTATGGGCCGGGTAAGTTAGTTAGGGTTTAATTGAACCTAGGATTATTTAGCCTATAAATATATGATGAAGGTTCTGCCTAGGGTTTTAGAACCCTGTTCACGTTGGTGGACGTTGGTGGAGGCAGAGGGAGACTGGAAAGGGCAAATAGAGTGTTCACCGGGGAATTGAGGAAGACGTCGGTGTAAGGCAAGTTCTAATTCTAGCTCTATTCCTTAGGCTCGTGTTCTTTGCATCTCTAATACAATTCCAGGAATCTATAAAGATTAAAAGTAAATTGGTTTGCATGTCTCTTGTAAATTAAATTGTTAAATTAAACGTATCAATGGTTTACACTGCTTGTTTGTGATCTTTTGTATGTAACTTGTAAATTAATTTACATAACTAGATGTTTAATGCATGTAAACTGGTATATTAAGAGTTAAATTAGTTCTTAAACCTCAGAGAAACATTAAAATTACACTGGTTCACATGGTTAAGTTAGTCAGAACAGTGTGTGTTCTTAAAGGGAAAACTGCTCGTTCTAACTTCCTGTTGCATAATTTTTTATCCGATTGTTGACGGTGAATGACTAAGGTAATAGACTATTTCTAGATCACACTGGAACATAACTTTAACCAGTAGTAGCCTTAGCAACTTAAGACAGATGCGCTGGACGTCGCCGGAGAGGACATAGATGGAGGAAACAAGCAGAACGGAAGAGAAGGGGAAAGAGGTGGTTCCCCACAAGGGTGGAGCCGGCTCTAGGGCACTTGGAGGCGGCTCCACACCCTTGTGGAGGCGGCTCTAAGAAGATGGAGGTGGCTCCACTTGTTTTGGAGCCAGCTCCATCCATTTTTTCTTTATTTTTTTGTTTTCTGTTTGGTTTTCTTTTGGGTTCCAGTAATTTTGTTGCTTCAAGGCTTAAATCTTGAAGATAACAGGGTCATTACAGGCTGTGGTGGGAGTAGTCAGAGAGGTTCTAAGCTGTATTAAAACTTCAGTGAGTAGGCTAATGAAAAATTAAACCAAAGAGGTGTTTGCTTAAACCGTAGACAAATTTAAAATAAGCTAGACTACGGTTCATGGATGTAATGGAGTTTAAACTGCGAAATTTTAATTTAATAATTTTCAGTGATGGATTACAGTTAATATGTTTCAGTAATCTCATATAGGTATGGAAGGTACAGGGTTCTAATGGTCTTGATGACTATACTTGATCATTAGGTAATTTAAATGAACTAGCTTATTGGTTTCTGGGAGGAAGAGAATTGAACTTGCTTAATCTTAGTATAGCAATTTTCATTGATGGTTCTGAAATTATTTCGGTACCAGTGTCTTGGAATTTAAGCCTGTGAAGTTATATACTCTGTTGTGCTATCTTGGAGTTAAGTTGATGGTTATATGTATGACATGTATGATCAATTACTGGAACTTAGTTACTCTGTTATGCTTAATGGGAACCTGGTTGTTTTACAGTATTGTGCTTTATAAACTTACTAAATATCTTGGAATGGTTTAAAGTGAGCATGTAAATTCTGATAATATTATTAATATGTTCATAGTGAATTACAAATTGGATTATACCTGATCTCCGTGTTTTAATCTTATTGGAGAATCAGGTATCGGTAGAACAGAACAAGTATGTTATACACATATACTGGTTATACATGTGATGGACTCTTGTTATTTTTGTTATGGATTAGTTAGTATTTACATATATATTTGTATTATCATCTACTGGATGGATGGATTGTATGCACCGGTATGGGACGGTAGCATACTAGGGATGGATTAGTAAAAAATTAGATCCTACCTATTTTGGAATGAGTTGAATTAACTATAAAAAGTTAAGTCCTACTTATATGGATGTCTATGCACCGGTATGGGACGGTAGCATACTAAGGACGGCTCAGTTCAAAATACTGAGACTTACCTATATTGGGGATGGATTAGTTCAAACACTAAGTCCTACCTATATTGAAATAAGATGGATTAACTACAAAGGTTAAGTCCTACTTATAACTAGGTGTCAGGTCAATAAACTTTTTGAATGGCACACTTGGAACGGACTTTACATATTTATGTTATGGTGCCACGATATGAGCCTATGTCTCAGAGTCGTTGGCTAGGGAGCGTATATGCATTGGGATGCATAGCTGCTATGATGGTTAGATGTATACCCTGCTAGGTCTAGGTAGTCATGCCCACCTCAGGTGCGTTTTGCATGGTGCCTACTAGTCAGGTTTAGATGGGCCTGTAGTCCAGTGAGAGTCCTGTAGTGTGAATATATATATATATATATATATATATATATATATATATATATATATATATATATCTACGGACTACTTAGTTATTGTTGAGTTGGTTAGAATGTATATGCGTATCGAGTCTCTGCTTGGATTGTAGTATGTTAGAACTTGTTCGTGGGCCTGACCCACCTCTATTTTTTCAGGTACTTGTCAGTTCTAGACTTAGACTTGGTCGTGCTGAGTAGAGACTACTACTCACTCTTCCGACGATGTATGACTTTTCTTCATGGTTTACTCTGGATGTTCTTTAAGTAGCTTTCATTTCAGTTTGGATTATTATTAGGGGTCCGTTAGAGATGGATTCCCGAGTTGTATTAGAATTGGAGAAGTTGGATGTATCAGACTAATTATTTATTTATAAAATTTTTATTCTGAGGTTTTCCTATAAAGGATTATCATTCTAGTTACTTTTTAGCAATTTATTTATTCCTGTTTTTCTTAATTATATTCTGTGTTCATTTATTACTAATTGGTTTGATATCCTCGGGTAATCGGGCGTGGGCCTGGCCAACCCGCATCCGGAAATCCGGGGGTATCACAGCAGTGCTGAATTATGGAACTCACTTGCTCAGTTAGTAGCACTTTCTTAGGAATATGACTATTTGAATGCCTCTTCTGAGTACACATATCTTTCACAAATTTGGCATAAACTGGAATTTGCTGAATTGCATCAAGCAATGGGAGATTAATTTTCACCTGCTTGAATATCTCCATTATGCCTTGAAGTTTGCTTGCTTGCTTCGCTGTCTTTGATGTTTCTTGTAGTCTCTGAGGGAATGGCACAACAACATGCCTTTGTTCAAGAGATGGCTCAGTAGTTGAAGTTGCTTCTTGTGCTTTTTCATTTCGCTCATTCTTCTCTTATAGTCTTTCTTCCAATTTTTATCCTTCTTTACTTCCTCTTCTTCCACCTTGTTTCCAACCCTCTTACCACTTCTTAAAGTAGTAATTGCTTGCACTTGTTCATGGTGGACTTCTTGGCTAGTAATGTCATCAATTATACGCACACCTCTTGGATTAGCCATTGGTTGACTAAGAAGCTTGCCATCCTCTCTTCGATTCAAGGCTTGAGCTAGTTGGCCAACTTGAGTCTTTAACTTGGCAAGGGATTGAGAATGAGATTGCATAAGTTGAGAATGAGACTGCACAAGTTGATTAATTGGCTCTAACTGCTTTGCTATCATTGCTTCGAGCATTGATAAGAATTGTTGTGATTGACTAAAGGCATTCATATGAGTGAATCTAGGAGGATTTGAAATCTGAACTTATGATTGAAAATTGCCTTGTACCCGAGGTACTTGAGGTGGGGGAGCAGATGTTCCTGTGGTTGGATTTCTCCATGAGAAGTTTGGATGGTTTCTCCAAGGCGAATTGTAAGTGTTTGAATACATATTATTCCCTCCGGGCGTTCCATAGGCAGCATTAACTTGCTCTTGTGAAATTCCTGAATACTGAGCTGCACTTAGACAAATGGACACATGGTGAGATGGACTAGAACAGAAAAAGCACACTTCAAAGCCTTGAGCATTAGTCGAAGGAGGAGTAAAATTTGATTGTGAAGTCATCAATTGATCCATCCTCTTGGTTAATGCCTCCATTTGGCTCACTAGCCCTTGATTTATTCCTGCTTCATTCACACTTTCTGCTCTCCTCAATATGGTATGAGGTCTTGCTACTGGAGGTAAGACATATTGTGTAGAATTATCAGATATATTTTCGAAAAGTTGCCATACTTCCTCTACACTATTCAACATAAAATTTCCACCACAAGAGGCATCAACCATATACCTTTGTGCCTCATTGAGCCCCTTATGAAAAAAGTTGACAAGCTGCCATTTTGGCATGTCATGATGATGACACTTTCGAATGAGGTCTCTGAATCTTTCCCAAGCCTCATGAAAAGGCTCGTCAGGCCCTTGAGCAAAACAAGTAATAACATCTCGATATTGAGTAGTTCTCACCATAGGGAAGTACTTGTTCAAAAATTTTTGTTGCATTTCAGCCCATGTAGTGATGGAGTCTGCTGGCAATGAATTAAACCAATCCTTTGCCTTGTCCTTCAATAAAAAGGAGAAAAGGTGTAGCTTGAGCACATTATCGTCAAAACTCTGGATCTTTATTATTCTGCACACCTTTGCAAAGTCATCCAATGTCGGTATGGATCCTCTTTTGATATGCCGTAAAAAGAAAGCAGTAACTGAAGAGTACTGCCTTAATTTTGTAGTGAGAGGCCCTCACTTGAGGATACCGACCTGTAGATGAAGAGTTGTATGCACCTGGTTCGTAGTGATCCTTTAAACAACGAACTGCTTCTGTAGTTGGTGGATCTGCTCTTCCTTCGACTTGCAACTCCTTATGGTTCTCTGGATCATCCGCCATCTTTTCCTTTTTAAGGGCTCCAAAATCTTTCTTCAAGTTTCTAAGAGTCCTTTCGATTTCTGGGTCTAACGGAAGCTTAGGGAGTGACAAAGAACGTCTTCCACCTGAAATTGTGAATAGAATCAAATAAAATAAAATAAAATAAAATCCTAAACTAAGATCCTAATTGAAATTAATTGTAGAATTTAATATTATCTGTCAAGAACTAAAACAAGTCCCCGGCAATGGCGCCAAAAACTTGTAATGAGATTTATATGTACCACTCGCAAGTGCACGAATCTCTGCAGATAGTGTTTACTTGTAAGGGTGTCGTACCTAATGAACTTGTATAAAATAAGTTTGTCAACAGATTTCTTAAATTTCAAATCAACTTGAAAGTAGGATAATCAGATTGTGATGATTTATTCTAAATTAACTAAGTAAAAAAATAAAATAAGAACAATAATTAAATAGGATGTAGAAAATAGAGAGAGAGAGAGAGAGCTAGGGGTATGATTTCATCACTAACGTCACACCACCAGTCAATTGCATCAATTTATTAGAGATATATCATACAACATGCACAGGAAATTAATCATGGCTACAAGCACATATTAATTCAGATAAAAAATAATATAATTTAAAGTTAAGCATGGACTATCTTCGATTGGTATAAACCATCTACCTAACTACTCTACTCTAGGGTGTAGTATGGTCTATCTTTTCTATGCATAATCCATCAAATCTCTAACATTATATTCAGAAAAATTCCATTGTATAATCATCTCATTCACAACTACAAGAAGTGAATGAGTTGTATTCAATCACAAGATTAAAATATCTAAGAAAAGATAGAAAAATATTTGTAATTGAATTAAAACTCTAAAACCGATTCTTATTGAAAAGTCAATTAAAAATCCTATAAATTACACAATCATGCATGATAAAAATTGTTCTCCAATAATTAAATACAATCAAACCAGTGTGCTAAGTTAGGGTTACATCACAACCCTAGCAAAATGTTTAGCCAAGCATGACTGAAATAGAATTCTTCATGGTTGAGGAAGACATCTTCACCGCCAAAGATCGATCCCTTCCTTCTTCTGAATGCTCCTCTCTGATCTCAGCCTCAAACTCCTCTGTATATATCTCTCAATGCTGTAGATGACTCCTTTTAAATAATAAAATATTGGCCCTAAAGTTTCATTTTTCATATAGAAGACATACATAGAAATTATGTCAAATAAGGACTCCAAAATTTATATAGACTCCAGCCCAATTTTGATAAGGTAAACAGTTGTTTTATGGAATCCTTGTGAAATACAAAATTGTAGCCCTTCAAATTTACTTTCAACCTATGCAAGAATTTAGTTGTTTTGACACTCGAGGAGAGAGATACAGCCAGATTACCAAAACGGGTTCAAATTACCAACTTTGGCGAAAGTTTCATTTTTAGAGAAGGATTTTTCTTTTTCTTCTTCTTTCCATTCTCATCAACCTGTGGCTTCTTTTGGACTATTTTATAAGTATAATTAGACTTGGATCTTCAACATTACTCGATCCCACGGAATGTCATCTTTTAAAGCTCAGAATCACAGGTCTTGACTGATTTTATAATTAAAGCCTTCAAATAAATAAAAACAATAAAACAATGTAAAATCACAAATAAACTATTATTAAGAGAATAAAACATGCAAGTAAAGGGGCTAAAATGTATAACATTTAGCGCCTAACACGCACCATTCAAGTTAGAAGTGCGGTTCAAACGCGAAACCTCAAGTATTTATCTTTCGAATTTTTATCAATGCCGCTATATCGCTGGAGACTTGTCCTACTACTTGAAGGTCACATATTTGCCATGATGACATTTTTTGATACTAAATTTTGAAACGAATGACCCCTTTTCTAAAAAAATAAGAATACATTTTATGTTCCCTTTTTATCATATTAAAAACAATTTTCACGAATATTATGCAATATAAGAATAATAGAAGCTACCATTATGATAATTGACACAATAACATAAACAATTTGATATATTACGTTTATGTACATATATATATATATATATATACACACACACACACATATATATAATGATAATAGGAATCTAATTGAGTAAGAAAGAAATAACCTGAAATTTATACAATGCACTGTCTTATTGTCGTATGGTTTGCTTATGCCACTGTTTTCTTCAAACACGTCCAAAGAAAGATTGGTATATATTGAGAGAAGAGAACCTTGTCAAGAGCTTTTTTCACACACTTTCTCCTATGAAGAGTCCCTTTATATATATGAAGTCTCTAGTTTAGAAATATATATATATATATATATATATATATATATTGTTTCCCAGAGTTTAGCAATGGAACTCATGTCGATATTTAATATAGGAATTTAAGTTAAATAAAAAACCTTTAATTAGTTACACGTTATGCATAATTAAAATCATAATATATAGTTTATTTCTATTAAAATATCATTATCACATATATAATTGGTGCTACCTCAGACGAAAGATTAAATATGACTACATAGAATGTAAAATTAATGACCATCCAATATGGACTAGCTCATAAGAAAATGACTAAAAAGTCTAATATATTCATCTTTAGAAAATATATATATATATATATATATATATATATATATTAAGTATTTCCAGAGATCTCTAACATCCCATATTTTGGTTTTAATAAACTGGGTCATGCAATATAAAACTACTTGATCAATCAATGAATTCCTCACTCTTACATACTAATATTTTTCTTTCTTATTTTATGTGGATTCAGTTGTTGCAGCTACTTCAAAAAATTCTTTTTTTTTTTTTTTTTTTTTGCTAGGGTTCGACCATATGTATTAATCTAATGCAATCACAAATTTAATACAACATAATTTTTCACTCGGGCTCTTAGAATGTGAGGTTGAGGGTTGAAGAAAGAAGTCTCTAGGGCCGTTCTGCAATGAATATTAAAATCGAAGGGGATCTTTTGCATGAATCATGTTTTTCTTTTTTCTGTAAAGAGCTTAAATCATAGTTGTTACATTGTAGCATCCACATTCTCAACCAGTTCACAACTCCCTCAATCTTTTTTATTTTTATTTTTGATAAATAAATGTGTATTATAAAAGTAAATAGTAAAAATTAAAAAAATACTGTTAGCCCAAAAGCATTTTGGTAAATACTAGGTGTTATGTCAAAAAAGGTTAGCAGCCCCATGATAGCATGAATAGGCTCCGGTGGGTTGTCAGCATGCCATAGGTGTGCACAATAGCATTTTCATAAATATGACGAAAAATGAAGTTTGGGAAAAAAATATCCAAAATTTATTGGAGCTTCCGTGAGAGTTTAGAAG